ATACATACACATACTATATATACACACACATATACATATATATATACATACGCACGTACATGTACACACACACACACATATATGCAAACATATACATGTATGTATACAATTTTTATATTGTTTCTTTAATCTTACTTTGTTTCTCTTTTTATAGGTATTTTTAGTGAGAAAAGTTATTGGGAAAGATAGTGGTACATTATATGCTATGAAAGTCTTAAAGAAGGCAACTTTGAAAGGTATCTAGAGATACTAAATTGAGCATTTGCAAATGTCTCAGATTTTTAATTGTATAATTCTATCTTATTAATTTTTCCTTAGTTCGTGATAGAGTTAGAACCAAAATGGAGAGAAACATATTGGTAGATGTGGAACATCCATTTATTGTCCGACTACATTATGCATTTCAAACTGAAGGAAAACTTTATTTAATTTTAGATTTTTTAAGAGGTGGTGATCTCTTTTCTAGATTATCTAAAGAGGTAATTGTTAATAAAAAATCATACAAGTATCATATGCCTATATTCCTATATTCTTCAGTGATAAGCACAATTGAGAAAATACAAGCAAATATTGTCCAAGATGATCTGGATAAGCCAGATATATTTATAGTTTTCAGTACGATTAATGTTTTAGGTAATGTTTACGGAAGATGATGTCAAGTTTTATTTAGCTGAACTAGCACTCGCATTGGATCATATACATAAACTTGGAATTATATATCGAGATTTAAAACCCGAAAAGTTTGTATTGTTTGCATTATTATATTGTTTATATTACTATTACTCTATGTATATATTTAATATGAATACTGATTATTCAAGAATTTAATTAATTTTTTTTTACACAATAGTATTTTGTTAGATACAGAAGGCCACATATCTTTAACAGATTTTGGCTTGAGCAAACAACCTTTGGATGATTCAAAAGCATATTCGTTTTGTGGCACGGTTGAGTATATGGCACCGGAAATTGTCAACAGAAAAGGGCATACTTTTACGGCAGATTGGTGGAGTTTTGGTGTCTTGATGGTCAGTTGGAGTGCATATATCGCATCTGAATCAAAATGTGATTGATGAAATGTTCCTAAATGTAAAAAAGAATCTTATAGTAATACTTTCTGATGTTTTTAGTTTGAAATGCTGACAGGTGCTCTTCCGTTCCAAGGTGCAAATCGTAAAGAAACAATGACGCAAATTTTGAAAGCTAAACTTGGTATGCCACATAATCTTTCATCAGAAGCGCAAGCACTTTTGAGAGTATTATTCAAGAGAAATCCGGCAAATCGGCTTGGATCTGGTAACATAAAGAATTTACACTATCTTAACGTTTCGCATAAGAAAAATGTTTTTGATAAGAAGAAGAAAAAATATAATGAGGTTCTGAAACGCAGATTCGTATATCTTTATGATAACTTTTTATATGTGAGTTTCTTTGTCTCTCAGGAGGAGTCGAAGAAATTAAAAGTCACATTTTTTTTGCTACCATCGATTGGGACGCCCTTTATAAAAAGGAAATAAGACCGCCATTTAAACCAGCTATTAGAGAAGATGATGCGTTTTACTTTGACAGCGAATTTACCTGTAAAACACCTAAAGGTAATCATTCTTTTTAAAAACAGAAGAAAAAAGAAGAATTAGAATAGTCTCAATGGGGAACAAATTAATGATAATAAAAAAAATTCGCTCTTTGATATCTTTACAAAAGATATTTTAACATCTTTTCAGATTCTCCTGGAGTACCTCCTAGTGCAAATGCTCATGAATTATTTCGCGGATTTAGTTTTGTCGCACCATGTTTGCTCGCAGATGCAGATCATGTTGTATCTCCTGAATATAGAAATTATGATAGTGTCAGTGCCACTTTTCCACCTTATGTCAATCCTGTTTCCATAACTGATGAATATGAATTTAAACATGAGATTGGCAGAGGAAGCTATAGTGTGGTATACTTGGCTGTTCATATAGCATCCAAGATGGAGTATGCTGTGAAGGTAATACTCTGTACAAAGTACAGTTTGAAACAATATATATTTTTAAGACAAGTAAAATAAAAAATAGCTAAATAACTAATTAAACAAAATAGGTGATTGAAAAATCAAAACGAGATCCAACAGAGGAAATAGAAATTCTATTACGATACGGTAGGCATCCCCACATTGTAACCTTGAGAGCGGTTCACGAAGACGATAAACGAGTATATCTCGTATTAGAACTTTTACGTGGTGGCGAACTTCTCGATCGTTTATTACAAAGACGAAATTTTACTGAGAGAGAAGCAGCCGAAGTCATTTATACTGTCACAAGTGTAGTACAGTATCTTCACGAGAATGGAGTAAGTATGTTCTTTATACAATAGCAAATTTTGCATAACATATCTCGGTTTATCTATCCACACATGTGTTTATATGTATATCTATGAAAATATACTTAACGTCATCGTTTCTTAAAGAAAGAAAAAAAAATAGGTTGTTCATAGAGACTTGAAACCATCGAATATCTTGTATGCCAAAGCGGGCGGTGATCCAACAACACTTTGTATATGCGATCTTGGTTTTGCAACACAATTACGGGCAGAAAACGGTTTACTAATGACGCCCTGTTATACAGCCAACTTTGTAGCACCTGAAGTATTAAAACGTCAAGGATATGATGCAGCCTGTGATATTTGGTCACTCGGAGTTTTATTATATATTATGCTAGCTGGGTATAAAAATTTGGGAAATGATTATTTGTTAAACGTGACTATAACGATTCGACTTTATTTTATCGTGCATTGATTTTACGCAGATATACGCCTTTCCGTAATAGTCCAGGAGATAGTGCGAACGATATATTAGATCGTATTGGTTCGGAATATATAGATGTAGAAAGTGGTATATGGTGCCATATCTCCAATGAAGCTAAAGAGCTAGTTAAAAGAATGTTACATTTGGATCCCACTCGAAGACCTACCGCAGCTATGATTTTAAAATATCCATGGATTATAAATCGACATCGTATCCCGCCAAAACTACTGCCAGATGTTATTAAAGATCCACATAGCTTGAAGGTACAGCAAATATATTATCGAAATATCAATATCGTTACGAATCTTTTGCCAACTTTCCAAAATGTCATCATTAACACATTAATTGTCGTCATAGTGCGTGCGTGCGTGCGTGCGTGCGTGCGTGCGGCGTGCGTGCGTGCGTGCGTGCGTGCGTGCGTGCGTGCGTGCGTGCCGTGCGTGCCGTGCGTGCGTGCGTGCGTGCGTGCGTGCGTGCGTGCGTGCGTGCGTGCGTGCGTGCGTGCGTGCGTGCGTGCGTGCGTGCGTGCGTGCTCATGTCGCGTATGCACGTGTAATATAATATGTATGGCTGTATATTTTCTGTTCTGCATGCTCTAATATTAAGGCCGGTATTCATAGTCAGTTCTTATATTTAAGATCATCTTAAGATAGTATTTCAATCAATAAGATAGCTGTATGATCTTATTTAAGATGATCTTAAATATAAGAACTGACTATAAATATCGACTTAAGTCTTTTTTTGTTGTTGCATTAGACCAAACTAGCTTTTTCTTTCATTAATTCAAATATAAATTTATTTCATTTTAAGTATAACATACATTAATTCATTTACAAAAAGCAGAATTTATATTCTCAATAAATTTACACGTAATCAATTTCTCAAGTAAATATTCCTATTTCAGATAGCAGTAGCAGAGACGTATAAAGTAATAGCGAGTAATCCGAGATCACCGCATATTGGTCCTGTGGTTATGTCCGAATTGGCACGTCGTAGAACACAAGGCAAAAGCAGTGGTCTTACCCAAATTTAACCTTATAATATTCCTTGTACAGATTTAACTTTTATTTAACATATTTAAGATTTATAAATAAAGATATTTAGGATAAAGTCGTTTAAAGAGTACAAGCAAATTCAGACAACTCAAAGTCCAAAATCAGGACATAAGATGTGTTTAAAAATGTCTTATAGCATGATTTTGGATTTTGTCTTGTCTAGAAAAGGTAGTTCAAAGTGCCCATATAGTGCAAGTGACATCAATATCATTGCAGAGAATATATAACTAAACATTTGTGACAGTAAGTCAAATATGTGATATTTATTTTTAGTTTATTGCATTTAATATGTAGTTATACATGCAGACAATGGATACGCATATTCATCTATATTTGTGACAGCTCCAAAATAGAGTACAAAAGATTTCAGTAATAATCGAAACAAGCAATTTAAATACATTTTAATTTTTTTTTTATATTCTGTCACATCTCATAAATACTATTGAAAAAATTATGTGAAATAAATTGAGTAAATCTATTATTACTCAATAATTTTGAAAAATTTTCAAGCATTTCGATGTATTTCGACGTATATTATCTGTGCAATATAGTTAAATCGAACTTTCTTTACTTGATGTATGTTGGAATATGCCTTGCATTTTCGTTTAAATATGTAATTTGTAATTTTAAAGCATTTATAAATATTTCGATGTTTGAGTTTTAAAAGAAGTATAATAGTTAATTGTAAAAAATAAAATCAAGTAATCATTGTTTTACTGCAATACTAATCGTTTGTTACATAAATAAATAATTGTATATATCAGAATTAAAATTATATAATTTTAATTTATTAAATTATTGTCGAAATAATACAGTAATTATTTTTATAATTTAAATTACAAATTGTGTTTTGCACATATTTTTGCATTATATTTGCTACTTATCCTCTTATTAGATTATTTGAAAATAAAAGTTTCTATCATATTGTGGCGTTGGTGAGGAGTGTTGTCCACGATGTGCTGAATTTGATGGCGGAAAAAGATGTTGGCCGCGGTGAGATTCGAACCTAGGCTCTCTAGGGGTCAATCATGTAACTACGTGAAATTTTGATTTTTCACTTTTTACTTTTCATTTTTCACCTTGACATTTCACATGAAACTTTTCATATACAGCGATTATGTATGTAGCGTGGATGGTGTGGAAAGTGAAATGAAACATAATTTCATAGGTTTTACAACTAATGAAAATGATTTT